CTCCACTGCACCCCATCACAGTCCAGCCCCTCACCGCCCCCTCCCACGCCCCGCGACCCGATGCGTCTGGCGCCTGCGGGGCCGGCCGGGCGGCCGACAGAAGCCGCCTGCCGCAGCACGGCGGCGGTGGAGCAGCCTTCCCTCCGCTGGCCCCGCTCACGGACGCTGCACGCCCGTCTCGTTGCAGGTGGGGCTGCTGCTGGTGTCCACAGCGCTCGGCCTCCTGGCGGTGTTGGCGTGTTGGCTCAGGCGGTGCAGGTGAGTCCTTCTCGCACAACACTTTGCACGTATAACAATGTACGTTTAGGCAAATGATCCAAACATGTCAAATGAATTACAAACGCCAGTTTTCGAAAACTAGCATCAAGTTATAAACCTGAATATCATATATGTTTTGAACAACTTAGAATAATTAATCGTTGGAAGAGCCAGGATAAGAACAAGCCTAATGCCTACTGGCAGAAGAAGATATAACAGTTAATATGGGTATTTTTATGGAATTTTAAAATATTCTTTGAAATTAATTAAAATTGCTAAAAGTTAATTAAAGATATTTAATTTATATTAATTTAAATTACTAATTATTATTTCGTACTAATAAATTGAAATTTACAACTTCTTATATAATATGATTAATATTAAGATGCGTAATATGATGATTGTTATACCCTCAAAGCTGAACAACCTTACCGAGATAAGGAAAAAATATTCCTCGATTTAAACATACATTTAAGAACACGTTACTGCTGAGGACAATGGCATCACATGCATAGGTAGTGATGCCAACTTTAGAATTGATGGAGAATCATATTTGTATTAAAAAGCACCACAGAAATACCAGGCATGTATTTTAGTGATGAAAAAATTCAAGTCATCTTCGTCAACTAAAACCCATTTAGAGAGCCGGCTTTCGACGGCTTTGCCGTCATCATCAGTCTCGCTATATGTGGTGAAAGTCTGGAGATAGTGAGCAGAGGGGATTTCTCGTTTAAATCTTTCCTGTGAGTTAGGATTAGGGTTAACTCAACCATATGTAGACATTAAAGTACGTTTTCTCTTATTTTGAAGGTACAAAATTTTGTTCAGATCGAAATAAAACTGTTAATTTAAATAAGAAATAAAGAAAAAACTTTCTTTATGTAATAGAACATAACGATTTACAATAGTAGCCTCTATCATGCCCGACAAATTCTCTACCTTTATTTTTAAAACCCCATCGAAATCGATTTAGCCATTGCAGCTCGAAAAAAATAAGAAAATTGATAATAATTGAATGGGTACTTACATGTAAATAATACATGTGTTAATAAAATATTTTTTGAATATCAGCTTTATAAATGACCTTTTCTGTTACACGAAATCGTTCATAAAAGGACATTTTACGGGACAAATAATGACGTGTTAGATTTTACGGCACTAATGTTTGAGACATCACTCATCATCGTGGGGAGGTAGCCGTGAACGGAGCAGAGAACATTATTTTCTTGCTCAGATGTCAAAAGCTCCACACGTAACCAGAAAGTTGTGTCCCAAAATTACAAGTTTGATTATGTCATAAATTTATAATGCTGTAATACTAACAAATTGCGTATGCAACTCGTTTGTAACATTCCCATATTGCATTCGTATGACGCCCCTAACATCCCCCGTTTTCAAAACACGTAGGACTACTTACGCAATAACGCTTGTTATAAACTAATTGCATAAAACACTCTTTAATTTGCATAGATGATGTATTATTTGCTAATAGCTGCTGATGCGACAATAAATTAAAAGAAAATACATTATCTATGAACCGAAAAAATGCCTGTTGATTGCTTTCTGAAAGTTTCATTAAGAATATAGCGTACTTTAAAACTACAAAACTGTACTCTTTAAATAGTCTAACTGTAAGTCTTTCAACAAAAAGAAACATTTCAAGCTAACGTTCGAAAAAACGTGGGAACCGTAACATCACCCCAAATGATAATAAATATTTATTTCTATTTTGGCTGTTTATTTTCTTTCTAACAGTTTCCGATTGCTTTTTCTGCTGAAATGTTGAAACTGGATGTTTATTCTTGATCTACAGAGGAATAACATGGGCTGAGAATTTGTTTGATGCTAGTAGACATGGTTTCTCGCTGAGAAAAATAATATTTTTCGGCTTTGGCAGATATTGGACATTTATCACCGTCTCTCTGGGATTTTTTCTCAAACATTCCTCCTCGTTTATTTGAATTGTTCTTTTCCATTGACTTTTCTCTTTGAACAGTTGCTGTATTTTTTGATTAGATTAAAATTAGCATTCGGTTCAAATTCTTGAACTCGTGTTAGAGTGAAGTCAAAGTTTTATTTGAAGTAAGTGACTATTGTCTCAGCTCTGTAATTTCATATTTGCATGGAAATCTCACAAAAAGCTTCGGCTTCAACACAACCTAAAACATAAATGTGTTCGTATTTTAATCAGATATTGTTAATAAATATGAAGTTGATAACAGCAATGGCAACAGCATTCAGAACAGGTCAAACAATTATTACATTTCAAATATTTTAATAACGTTTTTGTAAACGTGAAAAACAATATTTATGCGTTAAGTGGATTATTTATTACATTTTTTTCCGTTCCGGAAAATATAAGAATGTTGGTTCTGGCACCCAAGTTATATGATCTTTGTAATACAATGGAAGGAAAAAGAAATTACCTTCCACAAACAGAATTTATTAACTATTAGTGTTACAGCATTACACAAATAGTTATAAACATTATGACTTATAGTTAGTTAATAAAGTCTGTTTGTGGAAGATCATTTCTTTTTCCTTTCGTCTTATTTGTAATTATGGAGTTCCATAATATTTCTGCGGAAACCACCGAGTTTATATCACCTTGTGTTCCAGGTGAAACTACTCAAAGTTAGAATAAAATGTGAGTCGACAGGTGTTCTGTCTGTTTTTGGGTCTGTGGAACCTCTTCTCTGGGATTAAACATGAAGACGATACACCAATTTTTGCCACCTATCTTCCTGTATTTTCACAAAAAATAATTTTGCAAAACTAAACTAATACCTCGGCAATAACAATAAAAACAGAAAATTTTGCGTCAAATTCGGACGCCAAATCTTTGAACACCCAGAAGGAAATGTTTCATAAAACGCTTTAGAAAATGAGAAAAAATATATTCTTCAATATTTCTCCACCGTCTGGCTGTCTGAACTCTGTAAAAGTGGGTAAAAAGTGCCATGAAATGGTTCCGAAGGAGTGTACTGTAGGAGAATGTAAAGGAATAATCAGTCGTTGATGTCACTGCAGTGTCTCTGACCGGGAGGTCCTAGTTTCGAGTCCTGACAGTGGCAAGATTTTCGACTTTAGCTTCTCAGCAAAGTTGAATTCATACGCTATCTGAAGGAAAATTATAGAGGCTAGCTGCTCAGATCGGAAGCGTTCCCTGTTGTTTTTTTGATCAACACTAGGTGAATGCTGGAGCAGGACTCTAACAAATGGGCCATGGACTTCGCGAGGTCTTTCTTTCCTTTTGCTATCCTCACCCCGTACTTCCACCCACACTAACATGCACTACACTAACAAACATGTCGGAAGACCGGTCAGGAGTTTGAAGCTTGTCCCGGCTGACGCTGTGTCGTATTTCATCATCTTATGGGGAAAATCACTGTCACCTCCCGTGATAAGACATACACTACTCTTATACACCCGGAAAGTCAAATCAATCAATCGACGCATTGTTGTTCCTTCTTTATTTTTTGTAGATTTGTTCCTTGTTTTATAAAAATACTTATGTCAAACTTTGTGAAACTACATTCGTGGAAGTAAAGAAATAACTTTTTGGTTGTCAAGAGTTTGTGTCTTATTAACGTTATCTCCTACTGCACAGTTTCCTGAAATCCAAAAGAAAATACCTAAGTATCTTCTCAGTTTGTACACTGAATGTAGATTGCCTGAATATTTTTAGTTATTAATCGCGCAACTTTTCTTGAACGATGGCCTTGCTTCCCCCTCTCTGGCACAATAAACAGTTGAAGGCAAAAGCTCACAGCGAGCACTGATGTCATTCGAAAAACATCTTCACAGGCTCAAAATAGAAACTATTTTCTGTTGAAGTCGAGAACATGTATTTCTCCAAAAAATCTAAAAAAATACAGAAGCAAGTGAAGATCCATCACAGGAGATTCCTCGAACTCCTGAGAAAGTTAGATAGCAAATTGAGAAAGTTGCGAAGGCATGAATGATTCTTCAGAGGTTGGCATAGCTTCATAAAATCAGTGGTCAATTTTGCAACTAATATCCTCACTCGACCCATATTTCTTTAATCCATTGTTCAAGAAAAGTGGCGTCAGTAATAATTAGATCAGTCATAGGACTACTTAATTGCGGTTACGTCTACTATCAAACTGGTCTATAAATGTGAAATCGACACTACTGCAAGAAATGTATATAGGCAATGATTAGGAAACAGCGAAGCAGATATGCCAACAACTGTTACTGTCGGAGGACTATAAATAGTATTTATATCCGTTATACAAGATGGCTGGTCAACTATGGGATGCTGATAAAAGATCATGCTACAAACAACGAAACATTTATTTTGGTTTTCAAAAGGAGATCGAATAGCCGAAGTTGATCAGATTCTGCACCATACATTCCTTCCAATACCAGTCAGATGTCAACTGCATATCATGTACTCTTGTAAATAACATACACACTACTTTAATTTGTGGTATTGAAGAACAAAACCAGAAGGAAACATTTTATGACTCACAAGCTATGCTTAGGAAAGACTAGTGGCATATTGCTGTGAAACTAGGAAAGACTAATATCCTTCTGTATTAAACATACTGTTAAACTTGCTGTTGAAACTCAAAATTGAAATAGTTTCATTGTTTATAGGCTTTTTCGAATTCCTGAATATCTGTAACAAATCAAATTACGACAAAACAGTAACAAACAGTAACAACACCGTATACACTTTTAAAAACCCGGAACCTCCGTAGCGCAATTCTGAGCGCGTAACAAATTAATAATACAAGCAGTTTTTGAATGCTTTCATAGTTTCTAGGCGTATTTAAAAATCGTAAAAAGTTCATCGCTCATTGCTGGAGGCTTCATAGTTTTATTTCAGTGTCTGCGCGCATTAGAAATTCGTAATACAAGAGTTTTGAAACTTGCTGGCCCGGCTGTTCGTTCAGTTTTTAACCCTTCCCGCCACTGATGACGATGCTCACTGAGCTATGATTGGAAACATGGCAGTGGAATAAAATAGTGCTTTTCTCAGCAGTCCGCGCCCACGTCCGGCTGAGAGCGTTTGAAATCCTGACGCATCG